TGGCCCCTCCTTTATCTTTTCTTAAAAATTTTTATTAGTGAAACACCATGAGGTACAGTTGTAGACTTACAAATTTTTGTGCTTAGGTTTCAGTTATACAATGATCGGGTACCCATCCCTCTATCAGTGCCCATTCTCCACCACCACTGATCCCAGTATCCTTCCCATCCCCATCCCCCCATCCCACACTGCCTCTGTGGCAGGGCACTCCCCCCTGTTCTCTCTCTCCTTTTGGGTGCTGAGGTTTGCAAAAGAGGCATCGAGTGGCAATCATGTTCGATCTATAGTCTACTCTCAGCACGTATCTCCCATACTGGGAGGATGCTCCCAACACCCTTTATTTGGTGCTCCCTTCTCTATCTGAGCTGCCTTTTCCCTTAACGTGTACGGTTGGCCTCCAAGCCATGGTGGATCCTCCTCTATCTTAACTACCCTCTACACCCCCCACACCCTTGTGGTAATTTCCAACCAGTCCTCCTGACCCATTTTCCCTAGCCTTGGATATCAGTTTCATACTATTTTATTTTAAAATATATATTTCAGCCATTGTTCTTTCTACTATTGCTTCGATGATGCTGTTTGGATTACAGTTAAGTAAGTCTTAATTTTGTTATATTTCTAACATGAATAGCACAGCTATTATAGAATAGAATAGCACAGGGTAGGACGTTTGCCTTGCAAGCTGCCGACCTGGGTTCGATTCCCCATGGCATATTCGATATGCCAAAAACAGTAACAACAAGTCTCACAATGGAGACATTACTGGTGCCTGCTCGAGCAACTCGATGAACAATGGGAAGACAGTGCTACAGTGGGACAGTGCAATATTCCACAAATAAATGCAGTCATTCTTTATCGGTCTTTCTCCTTCTGGTTTATTTGACTCAGCATGATACTCTCCAGGTGCATCCGTTTATAGGCAAATTTTATGACAACTCTTTTTTTGAAGACAATATGGACATTCCTCAAAAAACTAGAAACTGAGCTCCCATTTGACCCAGCAATACCACTTCTGGGAACACACCCTGGGGGTCCAAAAACACACAGCAGAAACACCCATCTGCACTCCTATGTTCGAGAGCCCGGCAAGCTACCGAGAGTATTCGATATGCCAGACACAGTAACAACAAAGTCTCCAATGGAGACGTTACTGGGCCCGCTCGAGCACTATTCACAATAGCCAGAATTTGGAAACAACCTGCTAACAGACAAATAGAGAAACTATGGTACATCTACACAATAAAAAAAGTACACTGTTAAGAAAAATGAGGTCGTGAAACTAAACAGTCTTATTCTATGTTTGCCTGGCTCTTGTTTACAGCCAGCAGATATTTCTCATCTATTCTATTCTTTCCTGGGTGCCCCTTTTCAAATCTTTTGCATTCTAAGACCCAAGGGCATATTTTACCTAAGGGCACATCCCAAGCTTCGTTGTTCCACCCCCAGGGTGATAAATTCCCAAGTGAAGAGGAAGAGCAAACTGATTTCAAAATACACAACAGTTTTGAGAGAAAGTACAATGGAGCAGACTAATAACTCTTCCACTAAACCTCAAATGCCAATTACTGAGTTCAGTAATTCAACTCTGTCATTTCCCTCAGTTTTCTGGAAAACATTTACTTTCTTTCATCTGTGGCTATTTCATGACACTTAAAAAAAGATAGTCATACAAATATTTACCCTTGTCCTGACCACAGTCCTCGGAATGAGACATGCTGGGGCTTGAGAAGAATATTTTCACTTCTTATTGTCTTGAGTTTATGTAAAATAGAACTAGCTTGTTATTCTTCCAGAGTATTCTAAGCCATGTTTATGTTCCCTTTCAGTGTATTTAATATCATAAGACCTGCCTTGTGCCAGGCACCCTTCTAAGCTGCTACACATAGTAACTCTATCCTACAAAATACTTTCCTATGAGATAGACTTCTCCAGATGGAAATTTGTAAGTTCACAAATAGGAAAAATGAGACACAAAGAGAAGATGCGAAAAAGGCATGTAAGTGGTAGGTTAGAGAGCGTGAAATCAGACCAAGATGCTCTGGCTGCTGGGAGCCTGGTCTAACCAGCCTCATTGGTCCCAGATCCTTGCTCTCCTTTACTTTTTTCCTCTCTCTTTCCCTTTCAGTCTAATGCAGGCTCCTAACTCCTTCTTGTCAGAGGGCGACCTTGGTACTCCTAGTTGAGACACTGAATCCCCACTTTGGGGTTTGTGCCCCTTTTTGGACTGTGCATCACCCCAATAAATCAAATTGTGCGTTGCCCAAATCAAAATAAGTTTCTTACAATTGGGATGAAATCATTTCAATGACTCTTCCTCTTCGCAAATAATGATTCTGATTATTTCACTTATCAGCTGATCCCTCCTCTTCCTTGCTTTGCCAAAAACGCAGCCATCTCTCAAAAGATTCAAAACTATCCTCTCCCTCCCTCCCTCTCTCTCTCTCTCTCTCTCTCTGAGTTCTTGGAAAGGCAAAGAGATAATACAGGGGTCAAGGCGCTTGCCCTGCATGGCTGACCCTGGTTCAATTCTGACATCACATATGATTCCCTGAGCATTATGCTATCCTTTCCCTCCTCCCCCCAATACGTTATGATCTGAATGAGGTTTAGGGAAAGGGAATCTGGTTGTGAAGTATTACAAAAGTCAGGGCAGGGTGTAGTGGAGAAACTGGGTATAGAGTGTTCTGTTAAAGATGTTTGCTTTTTAGTACCTTCATGGCAAACTATAACACCCAAAAGGAGAAAGAGAGTAAGAGGGAATGTGCCTGCCACGGAGGCAGGGGGTGGCAGGAGAGATACTGGGAACATTGGTGGTGGAGAATGGGCACTGGTGCAGGGATGGGTACTAGATCATTGTATGACAGAAACGTAATCACAAAAGTTTGTAAGTCTGTAGCTGCATCTCACAGTGACTCATTAAACTAAAATGTAAAAAGAAAATGTTTGCTTTTGGATTAATGAAATACAGTAGGAACTTGGAGAATGGAAGGATTGGGTGGGTTCAAAAGGCATTTCAGAAAGAACAATGGATTGGACATGAGGTAACTCAGGGAACCGGTTGAGAGGGGAGTTAAAAATACTATTTGGGACCTGAACGATGATAAAGAGAGCATCGTGATCTGAAATAGGTTTACCAGAAAGCTAAGCTGAATCAGGGAGAACAAAAAGTTCATTTCAGGATCTTTGTCATCATTCCAGGAGAAACGTCTAGTAGCTGGGAAACTGTGCCTGTGACGAGCCCCGTACAAGTGTCTAGCAGGGCACATCCGGTTACATCTCCCAGTCATTACAACATGGCCACGCTGAGGGGACACATTCTTTAAACTGCATGGTGGGGGCACCCACCAGAGTATTTGGGAAATTCCATCCTCCCCAGCCCCATCAGAGGTAGAACTAGCTCTGACTGGACCGCTAATGCGCTGGGGAGAAGACTCAAGTGGGACTTAGAATCCTGGCTTTACGTGGGAGGCCCAGGGATTGATCCCCCTTCCCCACACCACCTGTGTCTGAGCACCACTGGGAGCACTTCCCAAGCAGCAAGGAGTACGGTGGGGCCGTCAGCAGCAAGTAACTTTTTTGTTTGTTTGTTTTTGCTTTTTGGGTCACACCCAGTGAGGCACAAGGGCTTACTCCTGGTTCTGCACTCAGGAATTACTCCTGGCGGTGCTCAGAGGACCATATGGGATGCTGGGAATTGAACCCCCGTCGGCCACGAGCAAGGCAAACGCCCTACCCACTGTGCTATCGCTCCAGCCCCAACAAGTGACTTTTCTTTATTACAGCTAAAGAGTCCTTAGAAAATGACAAAGTTATGAGTTCTGTGACTCACAGGCTTCTGTGCTTGAACTAGCATCATATTATTGTTTAACTAACAGTTTCGCGCAACCTTGAATCCAGTTCGCTTGTTTGTCTCTGCAAAGGTGTCTACAGTGCCCGTTGTTATCCGCAGACTGAATGGTGAGAGCGCCAAATTGCTCGGAATTTAGCCCTTAAAAATCAGCCTCTCCAGAGGACATGCCTATCCAGTGGGCAGGATGCTCGTCTTGCCCTCGGCCGCCTGGCTTCCATCTCCGACATCCCATGTGGTCCCCTGAGCTAGCCAGGAGTAATCCCTGAGTGCAGAGCCCAGAGGACCACCAGGACTGACCCCCAAACAAACAAAAAAAAATCTGCTGCTCCAGGTAGAACACAGAAGAACCCCGGGAAAGACCAGACCTAAGGCCGCAGGGACACATCCCGGAGGCAGGAGGGCCTAGACTAGTGCGGTCAAAGAGATGGGAAAAGCAACGGCATGCAAGTATTTCAGTGTATGACACCGATGAACGCAGAGTCACACACTGAACCCCCAGTTTGGGGTCCGGACTGCGCATCCCCCCAACAACCCAACTCGTGGCATGGCCCAGCAGAGAGCAGCCCCCCCCCCCCCAGAAGAGCAAATATCTTCTTTCCAACTTCGCATCAGCCTTCGCCTCCTCGTGAAAAGCAGGGGGTCGTGGGGGTGGGGGTCGGGAGCGATTAGCCCCCCCCCCACTCGGGTAGCCGGGGCGTCCCCGCAGCCCCAGGCTGGGGGCGGGGGGGAGGCGAATCCAGTCCGGGTTTTGTGGGCGCGGGCGGGCGGGCGCGCGGGGGCCGGGGGCTGCGCGGACGGGGCCCGCGGGGAGGGGGGCGGCGACGGCGGCGGCGGCGGCGGCAGAAGACGCGCTCGGCTCGGCTCGCGCCCGGGGACGGACGGCGGCGCTAGGCCCGGAGCGCGCGGGCCCGGCCGGCGGCCGCATGGAGCAGCAGCGCAGCGCGGCCCGCGGATCCCGGGCGGCGGCGGCGGCGGCGGCGGCGGCGCGCACCCCCCCCCGCCCGCGCCCGGCGCGCCGCCCCGCCGTGAGCCCCGCTCGCCCGCCCGCCCGCCCCGGCCGCCGGCGTCCCCGCGGGCCGGTCCCGCGCCTCCGCCGCGCCCCGGAGCCCGCGCCGCGCGCGCGAAGCAGCAGCAGCAGCCGCCGCCGGCGATGCAGGCGCGCCGCCTGGCCAAGCGCTCCAGCCTGGGCGGCCGCCGCGGGGGCTGCGCGCCGCCCGGACCCCCCGCGCCCGCCCCGGGCCCCGATTGCTGGAGGCCGCCGCGGCCCGCGCCCCCGCCGCCCGCGCCGCGCGCCCACGGGCCCCCCGCCCCTCCGCGGGCCACCGCCGCCGTGTCGCCGCTGCCGCTGCCACTGCCACCGCCGCCGCCGCCGCCGCCGCCGGGGGACGAAGATGAGGACGGGGAGGGCGGGGGCCGGCGGCGCCGGGGGCTCGGCCGGGTGCCCGCCAAGCCCCGCGCGGTGGCCGAGGAGGAGGAAGAGGAGGAGGAGGAGGAGGAGGAGGACGACGACGACGACGAGGAGGGGATCGTCGAGGTGGTGGACGACGACGACGACGACGACGGCGACGAGGAGCGCTTCGCGCCCGTCGGCCCGGGCCGCGCGGTACCCAGGGGCCCGGCCCGGGGCGCGCCCAAGGTGCGTGCAGGGGGGCGGCGCGCGCGGGACCCGGGCTCGAACCCGCAGCCGGCCAAGTGCGGGCTGGAGGTCGCGGCGATCGGGCGGGAGGACGGACGCGGCGCCGGGCCCCGAGGGGTGTGTCCGGGGTGGGGGGAGCCGAGCTCCCGCGGGGCGCCCCGGCCGGGCCCGGGCTGTAGCGCGCGCTCGGGCGCGGGCGCTCGGGGAAGGGCCCCTCGCCCCCCGCAAGGCGGAGGAAGTTTGGCGCTGGGACGGGGTGGTGGGCGCCAGCTGGAGCCCGGCGGGAGACTGCAGTCTGCCCGGAGCCCGCGGGGGCGACCCCCTTCTCCGTCTTTGGCGGGCTCGCCGAGCCCTTGGCAGGGAACCGGCAAGCCAGCCTCCCCTGTCAATCTCTCACCGGTTCCTCCAGCCCAGAACAATTGTGCAGGAGTTTCTGTCGCGGGCGCTGGGGAGGGAGCGAACCCGTGCGCCCCAGCAGTCCAGCTCACCCCCCACCCCCAAAACCCCCACCCCAAATAAAATGAAATAAAATAAAAATAATAAAACTCCAAACCAAAACCAACACCTAAACCCCAAACCCAAATAACCCTCAGCCCTTGGTTTCTGCATGCATTTTTGCTGTCTTTTTTTCTTTTTTTTTGCTGTACCCCTGCCTGGTTGAGCTCAACAGTGCTCAGCTTTTTGTTGTGTATTCTAATGACTGCAGTTTTTTTTTTTTTTTAAGGAGGACGTCAGGGAAGGTGAAAGGGGAGGGTTAACGTTCAAAATTCTGCTGAGAATTCTAAAGAAGCCTCTCGGGCCCCAGAGCACCTGGGGATCTTTCCGTTTGTGTATCTCCGGGAGATAAGGGGGTTATTATTACACAACGGACCGGCTGGGGCTCTCAGGCATGCGATTGGACGAAGCAGACCACGTTGAGGTTCGTGCACTGTGTATGTTGCTAAGAAGTTTTGCGGGTGGCAAGTGAGTGGTAAGCATGGTAGTGCGATTTTTTTTCTCAAGCATGATTCTTACAACCAGCGCAATTCACAGAAGTTTCCAGATGATGTTGGTAGCTCAGGGAGACATAAATACGGAACTGTGTGAGCTCAAATGGTCATTCAAAAACGGCTTTAGCTTGCGAAAGGGGAGGGAAGGTCTCTCAGAGCATGAAGTTGCAGTTCCAAAGAAATGTTAAACGTTAAAATTTTGAGTAGCCCCAGAGTAGATACGGATTCACAGAGAATCTCCCCCAACGTAGACCACCCTGGAAGTGGCAGTTCTGGGGGGTGCGAAGTGTTCAGTCAGGAATCACTTGGGGTGATAGTTTTTGACAGTTGCTTGTTGGAATCCGGACCGCAACCGAGCTCATTATCATAGGCTGCCAAAAAGCCTGCATTGTATGGCTGTGGCATAGAAGTGGGTTCGGAATTAAGTTACTTGGCATCATTGACATTGAGTAACAAGAGTAGTAACATGCCCTAATTTTTTTTTCTCTTTCTAGAAATACTGAACTTATTTCTTGTGGTTAGAACACTGGTTGTACAATTTGTGATAGAAAAATGGGCTTTTTATTCTCTTTGGTTAAAGTAAACGCTGTGATTTTAAAAAAAAAATATATATATATATAGAAACCAGATAGGCCATGATAAATTACAATAAGAAAAGATTTTTCTTATTGCCAGATTTCTGTTTTCTTCAAATGGATTTGTAAATGGACTCTATTTTGGCCCACCAAATAAATTTTTAGAGTTTTCTATGCTGAGTGTTTAACATAATTTTAATGAATTTTTCACAGCTTTAAAGTCTTTTTTTTTTCTTCTTGGGTCACACCCGGCAATGCACAGGGGTTACTCCTGGCTCTGCACTTAGGAATTACTCCTGACGGTGCTCGAGGGACCATATGGGATGCTGGGAATCGAACCCCGATTCGCCGTGTGCAAGGCAAACACCTTACCCGCTGTGCTATCGTTCCAGCCCCTAAAGTTGTATTGATATAGCTGCTGAAAAGATTTCCAAATGAACTATAACAGAAGCATTTATTTTAACCAATGGAATAACAAACTTTCAGATAATATTTCAGATTATCGGTTTTCAGATAATGCATATAAGATAGGATACATAAATACATATACCGCTATATTTACTATCTTATTCAAATGTTTATTGAGCACCTATTGTGTGCCAAGTGCTATAAAACAGCAAGCACTTTCCAGAGCACTTACAGGTAGTGACAGGAGTCAGAAACCCTGGAGAGACCAGCAGGGAAGCCTGGTGCCTGAGTTTACAGATGCGTGCTCTGAGGAAACACTGGTATCTCGGAGCTAGGAAGGAGCGAGAGAAAATTTGTGGAGAGAAGGCCTTCCCGGGGAGGTGACATTTGATCTGAGATGGGAGAGGTGAATCTTTGAAAGATATTTCCCGTCTGGAAAGATTTCCAGGAAATATTTGCCTCTAACAATTGCTGGGATGGTGGTGAGGAGAGAAATTTGAGAGCATGGGTGGAGCTTGATAGGTAGCCAGAGGCATCCCAGGGGAGGGCGGAGACTGGCCGCAGAAAGCCCGTGTCCCTCTGGAAAGAGGGCAGACTTCTGAGTCGCACGCAGTGAAGGCGTACTGGCTGCTTGGCATCTCTTTCTGCCGAGGGGTGGGACCTCTTAAGTGGTGCTCAGGCAGCCACCAGGGGTGGGATGGAGTGGGGGTACTTCTGGTGATGCTTGGTTATTCAGCCAGCACTTTTGTGCTTGGGCCCCAGGGTGAAGCCCTGCTAGGACCCTGTGGTGCTGGGGTCTCCCTCAGGGTCACCCCAGGACGGGAACCCCCCGGGTGGGCTTTGGGGAGAGCAGGTTGGCGCCCTCAGTGCGTGCCCGTGGGGCGGGGAGGGAAACTTCGGCCGGGTGGACAGGAGCAGAGCTGGAGTTGCAGACAGATTTGGGATGGAAGGTTAAAAGGAGCTTTTGTGCCAGTGGGATAGGAGAGGGGAGGTGTTCGAAGGAAAGAGAGACCCCCAAGTGACGTGAGAGGTGCTGTTTGCTGAGACTGGGAAGTCTGGAAGCATCACAGATTTTTGTGATGGAAATAAAAACATCCAGTCTTCTGTTTTGGCCTTGCTGCATCTGGGAAGAGGATTAAACCTTTAGAGAGAGATGCAGTTGGGCAGATGGCGGTAGAATGAGAATGTGGAGCTGAGGGGAGAGAGAGAGAGAGAGAGAGAGAGAGAGAGAGAGAGACAGACAGGCAGGCAGACAGGCAGACAGAGACAGAGAGTCAGAGACAGAGATAGAGACAAAGACCGAGATAGAGACAGAGACAGAGTGACAGAGACAGAGAGTGAGAGACAGACAGAGATAGATACAGAGAGACAGACACACACACAGAGAGAGAGAGAGAGAGAGAGAGAGACAGACAGACAGACAGACAGACAGAGTGCAACAAGAGTCGTCAGCATGTTGAAGTCTTAAAAATGGACAGAATTGAAGGGCAGGAGGCCAAGGGCGGAGACCTTTAGCGGAGACTCCGGGCGCTGCTTTGTTGAGTGGAGCTGTAGAGGGAGAAGCCAGCGAGGATCAATGAGAAGCAGCAGCTGCATAGGTTAGAGAAGAATGACAAAAGATGAAAACCATAAGCAGGAGGTTAGCTCTCTCCAGCGAGCCAAGAGACGGGCTGGTTCTCAGATGAGCTGTGTGGACTCAACTGGGCTGTTGAACACGATAAGGAAAGAGATCTGTTCCATTGGATCAGATCATGTGCAACTTCTTGGTATCCCTAATTGAAGAATGTCAAGCCGGGGTGATGGCTATAGAGTAGGCTGAACAGGCCCAAGGGGGAGAATGCAGGAAGGCAGATGAGAAACTCTTACCAGGTCCTGTTGGATAAGAAGAGAATGCAGAGGGCAAGTGAGGGCATGTGGTCTAGATTGATTGATTGATTTTTTTTTTTTTTTTTTTTTTTTTTTTGCTTTGGGATCACACGCAGTGGTATGAAAAAGCCGCTTCCAGTTCTGCGTTCTGGGGCTGCCTTCAAGGTGCTTGGGGGACCGTGCTGGAGATGGCACCGGGCCTCCTGCACCCAGAGCCTGCACTCAGCCTGCTGCTGCCTCTCTGGTCCTTCTTTAATTGTTTAATAGTAAGACACAGTTGACTCTCAGGGGAACGAGATGCCCGAGAGAGACTGGATTGTGTTGGTTTTCTGTTGTGTAATAATAAATCGCCACAGACTCTTGCCTTTTCAGTGGTTTTCCTGATCTCTGCAGGTTCAGAGTCCAGGGTTGGCTTAACTGGGTGCCTCCAGGTCCCAATAACAGCCGTTAGCATCACAGAAGGTTTTGGACTGTGTTCTCACCCCACCGGAGAGTTGACAGGGGGTGAATGCAATGTGCGGCTCACTCTGCTTGTAAACAGAGTTCGCTGCCTTGCTTCTGTAGGTCTGAGCTGGTCCCAGCTTCCTGCTGGCTGTCACTCTAAGGCGGCCCTGAGCTCTCGAACAGCCTCTCTGCCACCCCATCTCCACCCCGTGCAGTGCTTTACCATGTGGCCTTCGAGTGGCTTCTCACAGTCCAGTGCCAGGTGAGGCCATTTAAGTCAACAATAGACCACAGAGTGACAGCGGTCGATATGTGTGTATCTATCTATGTCCCTAGGTGTGTAGTATACTGTATCATTTATAATTATGTAATTGTAGCACTGTCCTCCCGTTGTTCATTGATTTGCTCGAGCGGGTCCAGTAACGTCTCCATCATGAGACTTGTCGTTACTGTGTTTTGGCATATTGAATATGTCACGGGTAGCTTGCCAGGCTACCCGTGTGGGCGAGAGACTCTTCGTAGTTTGCCGGGCTCTCCAAGAGGGGTGGAGGAATCGAACCCGGCTCTGCTGGGCAGACCGCGTGCAAGGCAAATGCCCTTCTGCTGTGCTAGCACTCTAGCCCAATTATGTGATTACATAATCTGAAGTTTGTATGATGATGAAATTGCCCAAAAATACATTTTTTTCCCAGACCCTATCTCAGCCATTAAACAATGC